TTCGTGAACTTGCCTTCAAACGACAGTCGCTCAGTAAAGTGGGTCTTTACTTCAGTTGTTTTTGAAGACTTTATTCTTTGCCTTTTCAAAAATTCATCATTTACAAACTGAGGATTTTATTTTTGATCACCAAAAAATTGTTTTGTTTTCAGATGGTCAATCAAATGTCGTCAAAGAAAACTGATAAGAGTACAAAGAAAGAGAATCGTTTCCTCAATGGTGTCAAAGGTAATTGATTGAGTGATTTTCTGCCGAATTATTTGGCCTCATCGAATGACATTCAACTTTTCAATTGAAAACATTATATTGCTTAATTGTATGTGCTTAACTCAAATTCACGTTTGCTTTCAGCACATAAAAAGCATAATACGGCATCGTATAGTCGCAAGAAGATTTCATCAGATGACGAAGATGAGGATGACTTGGCTCTGAACGGCGATGACTACGATTCAAAAGATGAACTGAAATTGTCAGATGATGAGGAGAAACCGCAAAGAAATGGCAGCAAACGCTCTCCCTTACCCCCCGCACCCGTACCGACATCCTCTACGTTACCATCAGTTTCCAGTGAACCATCATTTGAACAGAGGCAAATGATTTCTCTTTGACATCAGCGAGTTCCATAACTTCTGAGATAACAGCTTAAGTAATAGTTGATTCAGTCTCTGAGCTTTGAAGAGGTTGAAGAATTCCTGAACGGATGTGGGTGGATATGTTTAATTGGGCAGGAAAGAATATTTGGACGAATTATCGAAAAAGTGAATTTCGATGATAAAACAAGAAGATATACTCTCAATGAACATTTGTATGAATTGAAGGGAATTCTGATGTCCAGAGCAAACTTAATATTGTGAACGAGCACTTTCATGTGTTTCTGATTTTAGACTACGGACTCTATCGGATTCAGATTCGTCGAAATCTGAACCGAAATGGTTGTGTAAGCCACGGTTGAATGGTGTAAAATCCACCAACAAATCGCATCAGGTACGCCGGAAACGTGCGTTCATTCCATCGTCATCGAGTGAAGAGGATATCGATGATAGCAGTAGTCGTCAGGATGAGAAGGTAATCGTATCGGTGAATGTTTTGAAATTTGACTTTTTAGTTGGAACTTTTTTGAACATTCGGTTTCATCCAGTACATCAATTTTCACGAATATATTCGTATAATGCAACGGTAGTTCACAGTTATTTTATTCAGCCTGTGGTAACTCTGAAACAAATGGTGAAGAAGACAAAAAAGAGTCGAGCGAAGAAAGGCACGAACTCGAGTGACGAGAGTGATGCGATTGACTCGGAGGAGAACGCTCACTTCGACAGTGATACAGATTCTGATGATAGCAGGGTTGGTG